TATCTCCCAAAGGCCCCCCTCCTAATACCATAATTTTGGGGGGTAGTCTTTCAAAATAAAAATTTGTGGGGTCCATAAACATTTAGTTCATAACAGTCATGGTGTATAATTCTTTTTATATGCTGTCAGATTTGCATTTGTTAATATTTGGATTTGTTTCATATTTTATTGATGATATTTGTGCCTATGTCTATGAGAGATATTGGTCTCCAGTTTTCTTTTCTTGCAATAATTTTGTCTGGTTTTGTTAGACTCATAGAATGAATTAGGAAGTAGTCCCTTTGTTTCCATCCTCTGAAAGAGAGTATAGAGACTTGGTGTTATTCCTTCCTTAAATGTTTCATAAAATTGACCAGTGAACCCATCTGGGCCTGGTGCTTTATGTTTTGGAAAGTTATCAATTATTGATTCAATTTCTTTAATAGACATAGGCCTTTTCACATTGTCTATTTCTTTATGTGTGAATATTGGAAGATTGTATCTTTAAAGGAATTATTCCATTTCATCTAGGTTATCAAATTTGTAGCCATACAGTTGTTCATAATTTTCCTTTATTATCCTTTTAATGTCTGTAAGATCTGTAGTAATATTTTATCTTTCATTTCTAATATTAGTATTTTGTGCCTTGTCTCTTTTTTTTCTTAGTTAGCCTGGCTAGTTAGTTTTCTTAGTTAGGCTTATCAATTTCATCCATCTTTTCAAGAACTAGCCTTTGGTTTTATTTTCTGTACTGATTTCTTTTCTTTTTTCAATTTCATTGATTTCTGCTCTTTTTTTTATTATTTCTATTCTTTTGCTTATTTTGGATTTAATTTGCTCTTTTCTAGTCTCTTAAGGTGGAAATCTAGATGATTAATTTTATATCTTTCTTTTTTTCTAATATATGCATTCAATGCTATAAATCTCCCTCTAAACACTGCTTTCACTATATCCCACAAATCTGAATAAGTTGTATTTTACTTTTTATTTAGCTAAAAATAAGTTTTAACTTCTCCTGAAATTTTTTCTTTGACCCACATGCTACTTAGAAGTGTGTTGTTTAATCTCCACATATATTGGGATTTTCCAGTTATCTTTCTGTTACTGATTTCTAGTTTAATTCTCTTGTGGTCTGAGAGTATACATTGTGTGATTATTATTTTTAAAAATTTGTTAAGGAGTTTTTAATGGCCCAGACTGTGGTCTATCATAGAGAATGTTTCATGTGAGCTTGAGAAGAATGTACATTCTGTTGTTGTTGGATGAAGCAGTCTACAGATGTTAGTTATATCCAGTTGATTGTTAGCGTTGTTGAGTTCAACTGTCCTTACTGATTTTCTGTTTGCTGGCTCTGATAAAGGGGTATTGAAGTCTCCAATTATAATAGTGGATTTATTTATTTCTCCTTGAAGTTTTATCAGTTTTTGCCTCATTAATTTTGATGTTGTGTTGTTAGGCATAGACATGTTCAAGGCTTGTTATGGCTTCTTGAAGAATTGACTCCTTTGTTATTATGTAATGTCCCTATTTATGCCTGATAACTTTCCTTGCACTAATTTCTGTTCTGTCAGAAATTAGTATATCTTCTCTGACTTTCCTGTGATTGATTGGTGTGAGCATGGTATATCTTTCTCCATCCCTTTACTTTTAATCTGTACGTCTTTATATTTAAAGTGGGTTTTTTGTAGACAACATATAATCGGGTCTTGTTTTTTGATCACTCTAACAATCTCTGTCTCTTAATTGATGTATTTAGATCATTGACATTTAAAGTGATTATAGATATAGTTAAATTGATACCTACTACATTTGTTACTGTTTTCTATTTTTTGTCCCTTTTCTTTGTTCTTATTTTTGTCTTTCACTCTTTTTATGCCTTTGTGTTTTTAAAAGAACATTTTATACAATTCTGTTTCCTCTATTTTCTTAGTCTACCCATTATACTTTTTAAAAACATTTTTAGAGGTTGACCTATTGTTTATGATGTACAACTAATCCAAGTCCACTTTCAAATGAGCAGTACAATTACCTTATAATAGCAAAAAAACCCTAATTCCTCCCTCCCATTCCTTGCATTATTGCTGTCATTTATTTTACTTACACATACCATATATGTTATATATACATATCTATGTGTATATATATTACATACACATAAACATACATAATTGAATACATTCTGCCATTATTATTTTGAACAAATTACCTGTTAGATCAATTAAGATAACAAAAATAAAAATTCTTACTTTACTTTGATTTTTTCTTCCTCCAATGCTTTCATTCTTTATATAGATTTAAGCTTCTGACTATACAATTTTCCTTCTCTCTGACAAACTTTCTTTAACATTTCTTGAAAGGTAGGTCTACTGGCAACAAATTCCCTCCATTTTTGTTTGTCCAAGAAGGTTTGATTTCTCCTCCACTTTTTTTTAACCCTCATCCTCTAGTGGTGATATCTCCTTCATTTTTAAAGGGTAATTTCAAAGTGTACACAATTCTAGGCTGGTAGATTGATTATTTATTTATTTATTTATTTTTATTCAGAATATTATGGGGGTACAAATGCTGGTGGATTTTTTAAACACTTTAAATATATCACTCCACTCTCTTTTTGTGTGATTTCTGAGGAGAAATCAGATGTAATTCTTACCTTGCTCTTCTGTAAATAAGGTGTTTCTTCCCTCTGGCTTGTTTCAAGGTTTTTTCTTTATTTTTAATTTTCCAGTGTTTGAATACATCGTGCCTAGGTATAGGGGTATTCTTGGCATTTATCCTTTTTGGTGTTCTCTGAGATTGCTGGATCTGGAGTTTGGTGTCTGATTTTAATTAGAGGAAATTCTTAGTAATTGTTCAAATATTCCTTCTCTTCCTTTCTCTCTTCCTTCTTCTGATGTTCCCATTACACATATGTTACACCTTTTGCAGATGTTCCACAGTTTTTGGATACTCTGTTTGGGTTTTTTTTTTTTTCCAGTTGTTTTCTCTTTGTTTTCTGTTTTGAAAGTTTCTATTGGCATATCCTCTCAGCTCAGAGATTTTTTCCTGAGCCATGTCCAGTCTACTAACGAGCCCATCAAAAGCATTTCTCTTGGTGTTTTTAATCATTAGCATTTCTTCTTGACTCTTTCTTAGATTTTTCATCTTTCTGCTTACAATGCCCATCTGTTCTTACACAGTCTACTTTGTCCATTAGAGCCGTTGGTATATTAATCATAGTTGTTTTAAATTCTCTGTCTGATAATTCCAACCTTCCTGCCATATTGGATTCTGGTTCTGATGCTTGCTCTGTCTCTTCAAACTCTTTTTTGCCTTTTAGCATGCTGTGTAATTTTTTTCTTGATAGCTGGACATGATTTACCAGGTAAAGACAACTTCTGTAATGTGGTGGTAAGTTGTTGGGGAAGATGAAGTGGTTTATAGTCCTGTGATTAGGTCTCAGCCTTTCAGTGAGCCTCTGCCTCTGAACTGTGAACTTCATAAGTGCTTCTCAGTTTTGTTTACCCCCCACCTTAGGTGGGACCAGATGGCTAGAGTGGATATTTCCCTCCCCAGTTTGGTTATTCTCTGTCAAAACTCCAATAATTTAGGCTCCAGTGAAATAGTTTCTCATGAGGGCAGGCCTTGGTGAGAAGAGAAGAATGTTCTGGCATAGTTCAAAATGGTTCCTTTTCCTTTTCCCCCAACAGAAGCATGAGGTGATTTTTCATTGATATTTACTGTAAGAATCTGGTTGAATTCCTGGAGGTAAAACTCACAAAAATGTGGGGATCCCTTATGATTGGGCTCCCCCACCCTGAAATTTATAACTCTCAAAGTTTTCCATACTGAGCCCCCAGAAATTTATCAGTTGCAGTTTAGGTTTTCCTGCCCTGTTCCTGGTTACTTCAGAGGATTCTGCTCTTGGATTTCTGCTCCAGTAAATTGTGATTCTCAGTATTTACCTCTCTGTTTCTCCAGTTAGGGGGCAACAAAACTGCCTTGTGACCTTACTTCTCTGACAAATCTAAGAAAAGTTATTTATCTTTCAGTTTGTTAAACTTTTTACTTACTGTTAGGATGGAATGACAGCTTCCAAACTTCTTACATGCCTGACTGGAAACCAGTAAGTCTCAATGTATTTTTCTAAGACATCTTTATTGGGGTATAATAATACCTCAGTATATACCATAAAATTTACATGCATAAAAGTCACCTATTGTAAGTGTACAATTCAATGATTCTTAGTAAATTTATAGAGTTGTATAACAATCACCAGTCACCGCAATATGTTTAAAACATTTTCATCACCCCAGAAAGTCCCCTGGTGCCCATTTGGAATACCTGCTGCTACTACCAGTTCTAGGCAACCACTGATGTACTTTCTGTCTCTATAAATTTGCCTTGTTTGGACATTTCACAGAAATGGAATCATCTTATATACAGTCTTTTTATGTCTGGCTTCTGTCACTTAGCATAATGTGTTTTGGACATTTATCAATGTTATGGTATATACCTCAATGAACTTTTAATACCAAAAATTGAAACACGATAGCTGTTTCTACTCATTAATATTTAAACACATTGAAAATAATACTGAACACTATTCAAATTCACCTTTTTCTATGAATGCCATCTTGAGTATTACACATGAAACATGATGATTGTTCGGCAGATCATACTCACAGGTGACTGGCTAGCCAACTGATTTGTAAGAATGATTTTAAAAAGTGCAAAGTTTTACCAACAGAAATATATATTGAAAAAATAGTTATGGGTACACCTCCATTGATTTATTTCAGTAGATTATAGCAATAAACAACAAATGAGCAAAATTGTTAGGAGGATATATCATGTTCAGATTTGCGTGAGTGAATTCAATTTCCTCCTGAAAAAAAATCTAATTAACCTTGTCAAACAAATGGAACAATTAACATCTGATTTTTCTTAAAAGAAGTTTGAAAGTTCCAAAGCTGCCATGGGCTTATCATTGTAAACAGTCTGAGAGTCACAGAATGTTCATGTGTATAAACTGCTGTACTTACAAATTATCCTCGAGTCTCTTCAAGGATTCCAAGACCAATGAATGAACACTGTCTAAAGAGCAGGATCCAAAGCAATTTAGGGCTGAAATATATCTAACTTTCATAACCCAGTCATTATGTAGCTTCCTTTTAACACTGGGAATTGAAAAAAGTAGAGAAGGGATTTATATTAGACACATAAACATACGATGTTGAGTTGCTACTCAGCATCTTACCTTGACTTTAACTGAATTGTAACTCTGAATTGTGCTAACTCTGCATGCATAATACAGTCCTATGCATTACACCACTTAACTGTTTAACTAAATGTTCATAATCAAGCATATTTAAAATGAAAAAATAACTTTAGAAGACTATCATCAAATTTTAAGCTATAAATCCAGAATTAAAAGAATAATCTCAGAGAATCCCAGTCCAATATTGGCACTATTATCCTTATTTTACTAAAAAATTCTAATCATCCATGTAGAGCACTATGTTTTATATTATTTTATATCTTATATGAGTCAATTCATTTGAAAAATATTTATTTATATTTTCCATTAATACTTTCAAAACTGAACAACTGGGAAATTTATAACCCCAGATCACTGGTGAGGCTGAGGCAGGGATATCCATCATATTCCTTGTCAGAGAGTTGCCCATCAGTTCACAAGGCATTTGAGTGAGAGGCTTAAGGTCTGAGGCCAAACCTCTGCTTCAAAATTATTGTCTTAACCTGGAAGAAGCCATCTTCATGGGATTATATTTGCTCATATTAAATGGTTTACTTGTCTCATTCACAAACATTTATTGTACACCTACTGTATCCCAGGTACCAAAGACCTGGTAAAATTCTTGTCTCCAAGTTTCTTAGCTTCTAATTGAGGAACAGACATGCTTACAACTCAAGACATGAAAGTTCTACAATATGATATTAATCAGAGTGGAGCAAGAGATATCTATTTCCATGCCAGATTGTGTTTAATTTTGAACTCTGGATACTGACCACTTTTTTTCTTTAATTTGCACAATGTTTTGCATGTCAGTCTTTGCTACCCTCACCCCCACCCATTCAACATGAATGAATTCTGTTGATGATAGCTTCAGGAAAACTTGTGTGTCCAGAATTTAATTACCTCTTTTAAAAAAGTATTTTTTTAATACTTCCATTCTTTCAAGTTTGAAGATCTCTTGGTGAAGAAAATGCCTCAACACTTAGCATATATGTATACACCCCAGTCTTAGATGATTTAAATAATCTACATGATTAAATCATCTACATGAAAATAATAATCCACAAGAACTAATTCATTTAACTGTACCCAGATTCCTCAAATTCCTCAGATTCCCAAATCTGATTTTTGACGTATCTATCTAATGAAAACAGGGATTGAAAATGGGCTGTGGAATTTTCTGACAGGTGGCTTACATCTCATTAAAGAGAAGATTCATGTCTCGGCACCTATTCTAACAGCCTATCATAACTGGAATGCAATGCTTGGTAGTATATAGGGCAGCACATCACAGACTGGGAAAGTCCCCCACTATGTCTTGTACTTTGGGGGAGACTAAGCAATACTGCTCACATGTGAAGGATGGAAAATGGAGCCAGTGGTTTTATTGTGTCATTCTTAGAGTTCCAGCAATAGGACTAGCCTTAATTCCATGTAGTAATTGTTATAATGTGTTTTTAATTGCATATTCTAACTCTAGGATAAAATATTTGTTACATTAACAACAAAGTTACTCCCGTATTCACAAAAA